AGGGTTGTCGAAGTTTTTCTTTATTCCTAGTATTATACATATGAGTGTCTTCATTCCTAATTAGTTCTTTTTGGTTACGTTTTATGTATTCGGTATTCAACGGTATTCAACCGTTTTAGGAATCACACGTTAAAAGGTAAGACCTCGTTAGTCCTTAGCTCGCACAAGATTCCCTCATTTTTTTTTGTATCAAGATGTAGTAGTAGAAAGCCAAAAACTTTCTTTCCCAAAAATTAATCACTCCTTAAAATATAACCCCTTCAATTCAAAGTTTCTCAACTTCTGAGAGTTGTCGTTCGTAAGGGGGCGACAGCTGATTAACGGAAAAACAGATTTTGAACAGATGTGACTCGCAGCCGGTGGATTATACCGTCAATCAATATGTTTATGAATCATTTCTTCATTAGGGGTCCTAATAGTCCACCCCAACATATGCATTGCATGTTAATATTTCCTTCGAAAGTTGTCCCATTATTGGCTCACGCTGTTTAGCTTTCTTTACTTTACAAAACTGGCAATTAAAATTCTTTGTTGTGCCGTTCTAAATAAAATAACATTTGTTTTCTCGACATTCAGAATCAAATTGTTCTTTGAGAACCAGTGGTTTGCTCTGTCTAACAGGTTACTCGACTCTATAATTAAGTTTGGATAGTTGTGACTTGATACTAACAGATTTGTATCATCAGCATTATTGATGATATGAATGATGAATGATGATGAAAATAATAAAAAGCATGGGACCGGTTACACTTCCCTGTGGGATGCCCACGTTATTTTCTCGTGCGTCTGATTTGAATATTTTTCCGTGTTTTATGATTTTAGTTTTTTGCAGACGTTCTGACAAATATGATTCAAACCACTTCCAGATATTTCCTCTAATTCCATATCTATCTAGTTTTGCCAGTAAATATGATCTAAGCAATCATAGGCTTTTGATTGGTCCAAGAAAATACCTAGGACTATTTCATTATTTTCAAATGACTGAATAATTTTCTCAGTGAACTTTTTATATATCCATGTTGAGAAGAACTTAAAAGGTTGCACTTTTTCATAAATTTCATGACTCTATCAAACATTGCCATCTCAAAAAATTTTGAGAAAGATGGTAAAACGCTTATCAGTCGAAAATTCTCAAATAACTCACAATCTCCTTTCTTATAGGTCGGTGTTATCAAAGTAACTTTCAATTGTTCGGAGCAGATTCTATGTTTAAAAGAGTTATTAATTATATGTCGAATAATACTAACAACATCATCAATACATAATTTTACCAAACTAACTGGTATTTCGTCATCACCACAAGTATGTTTGTTTTCAATTTTCTGTGCCAAATTCTTTATTTCATCTTCGGTTACAGGTTCAAGAAACATTGATTGTCAATTATTTGTGGTGTTACAAGTGAATTCAGTTTTATTTAGTTTAAGTGTCACACTATAAAAAATTCGGAATGATGTTCAGTGATATCATCTGGATTCCTTACTTTTTACTAGGAGCAACTCTTGGAAATATTCTTAATAGATGTTAGTGAACTGTCTCATCTGAACTTACTCTGAAAAAATTTATAAAGTACTCCAAACGAAAATGTCTTGAAGAAAGCAGTTATCCCTTTAAATTTATCCAGAAGACAACCTCTACCTTGTCCAAATCATAATACTCAATCATCATTCTATCTGAATTAATTTCTGGAATAAATTAGTCAATCACTTCTATTACCAAGCTAAACAACTCTCAGAGAATGGTTATAAATAACATTCCCATCTCCACGCTCTACTGGTTTCAACTATTTTGACAAACAAAAAATTATATTATTATCAAGTGTGTTACTATTTGATATCGCATTGAATAATTGTTATAATAATCATTTGATACATGCCCTGCATGTTATTATTTTTCAGAGTGGAAAACTAGTTAATAAGATGTTCACCAAAATAAAGGAGACCGTTGAAAACACAAATACTCTTGTATGTGTTCTAATAGATGAAGTTGAATCATTGGCTCATGCTCGAAATCAGTGTTTATCTGGTGAAGATTTCAATAAATACTTATTCCAATAATCTATTGATTTTTTTCGTTTCAGGAAGTGAACCATCAGATTCAATTAGAGTAGTAAATGCCCTTTTAACTCAAATAGATCAAATAAAAAGACACTCCAATGTTTTAATACTGGCCACGTCCAACATGACTGAAACTATTGACTTAGCTTTTGTAGATCGGGCTGACATCAAACAATATTTGGGAAATCCATCTGTAACGGCAATATATAAAGTATATCATTCTTGCATTAATGAGTTGATTAAGGTAAAGCATATAATATTTTGTATTGTATTATATTGTATTGAGATTATACCATTTCAGGCTCAAATTATAAAAGAACAAGTTTTGGAATCTGTGGAGACACTGACTGTTGATGAAAGTAAGGAAAAGACAGAAGAAACTAAGCAATTATTAGCGATATCTGAAAGGAGTTGTGGCCTTAGTGGACGATCATTAAGAAAAATACCATTTCTAGCACATGCGTTGTTTTCAGAAAAGTCTTTAGTCAATTTAAATGATTTCTTGTATTCCATGGAGAAAGCTGTTGATAAAGAACTTGAAGAAAGACGCCATTTTGAAGGTTTGAAAAAACAGTCATATTGAAAATTTGTGAAATAAGTTTTTCTTGATTATCAAAATGGTATTTATGATCAGATTTACCTTAGTTGATAATTGATTTTGTAGAATATTTGTACATTCAAATTGTTCATTTTATTTTCTCACTATGCCAATCAACTAAAAACTTTGTTACATATTGAGTTATAGTTTCAAGCTGATAATACATATTAAAATGTAAAACTAACTTAAAATTTGTTTGATGTCCATTATATGTTCAAAAGACTATAAAAGGCGGATTGTTTTTTTTTGTGATCATTTATTCATTTATCGATTGAAATGCAAACAGAAACAAATCCAAAATAGTATCTAGTAATTACATTATTTTCTTATTATCTGTTGTATCGTCTTTAACATTGCGGTTTCATTAAAAACTGTGCAAAATAATCTTTTGACTTTTATTTGAAGTTGAATAGCTGAAAATCTACATTAATCCCCCCGTGAAGAAACGTCTTCACTCTCGCTCACCTTGATTCTGGCTAACTTTGTCACCGGACGTCTGAAAATTCCATGTTTTATTTCNTTCCCCAACATATGCATTGCATGTTAATATTTCCTTCGAAAGTTGTCCCATTATTGGCTCACGCTGTTTAGCTTTCTTTACTTTACAAAACTGGCAATTAGCAAATACAGATTTAACGGTCTCGATTCCTTGGTATGATAATGATGAATTATCAGCCTTGAAAGGGCATTGATTGAATATGGAAAACAGAAGATTTCTACATTCTGGAAATCTCTTTCATAAAATCATCCTTACCGGAAGACCTTCCTATCTTCATCGGAAAATAACATTCCGCACTGATGTTCATAATGTCATTATTAGACATCGAGGAATATTGTCCCCACCCCCATTCAGAACTGAACTCTTCAAGAGATCGGTTAGTTACCAGATTTGCAAGATATATAATCTCATTCCACCAAATTTCAAAACAGGAAGTATCCTAACTTTCAAATCCCAACTCAAAAATCTTTTGTTCAGGTAGGTAGTTCAGTAGGTTTTTATTCATTATTTTCACATAGCAAGGTTGAAAACTGCCGCTTTCACCAAAAACTGTATAGACAACAGGTACGCATAGGTATTTTTCAGGTTTAAGTGGAAGAACAACAGAGTAGCACTTTCCGCTGCCGAGTTGAACTTCGCCCTTTATTTTCTTAATATATTTTGAAGGATTATTTTCATTTAAATGTGTTAAAANCCAATGCATGTCTCATGTAGACGATCTCGAGTTCCTGACCCATGGAAGATGAGAGGAGAGGCGTATCATCGGCGTAGAGGGATAACTTCACACGCTCGGACCTCTGGAGGTCGCTGGTGTAGAGCGAGTATAACGTGGGAGAGAGCACAGCTCCCTGAGGCACCCAAGCGAGGATGTCTCTGTTATCAGACAGGGAGCCCTCTACTCTGACCTGAAATGTTCTGTCTTTCAGGAAGGATCCAATCCACCGGATCAGTCCCCGAGGCAGGTCGAACGCGTCTAGTTTGTGTAGAAGGCCTTTCAGCCAAACACGGTCGAAGGCCTTTAGAGATGTCTAAAAGGACAACGTGAACTTTTCGGTTATTGTTTAGTTTTCGAATGGTATTTTCGACCAGTCTCAGAGCCTGTAACTCGGTGGAGTTGTCTCTCCTGAATTCGAATTGTTCGTTAAGCAGAACATTTCGGTTCTCAACTTCTTCGTTGAGCCTTTCAGCCAGCTTAGCCGCCAACAAAAGCAGACTGATCGGGTTCGACTATGTGCGATCATCGTGTAAATGTATAATAAAATAGGCGAAGATTGCTCGACGTACTCGTCGTAGAAGCTTGGTGAATATCGTTAGGAAATTGGGAGATGTGCCACTCGAAAAGTTGTCTTCGATCATTCCTCTCGCATATACTGGGACACGTCTACCGACCCACTCGAAATTGTGAGGTTCTTGCAGTTTCACAACTGCGTGCAGCTATGGATAATTCTTAAGACTAAACCATGGCATATACCATATCCGTCTGCATAAAATTGGAATCTTGCATACAGACATCTACCATATTACAGAGACACCATTGCTTTATCTCAATCTTATAATTTTTTTAAATTGTTTCACATTCACCCGTTGGTGAAAATCAATAACACCATTCGTGATAATAATTGAAAATTTTCATAAATATTTCATTTCCAGTACACGTTTCACCACTATATAGTGAAACGCGAGTCTATACTGGGAAATTTTGTAGGTAAACATTGTTTAAACAGATAAGACAGCATTGACAAGATACAAATCAGTATAGGAAATATACTGAAAACATCTTAAAAGGTATCAAGCTATGAATAACTACCTAAACACAATTCAAGTTATGAAATTATAACAAATCTGAAGACTCGTTAAAAGGAATCACTAAATTATAACTATAATAGGAACTATTAACTAGAAAACACTTCACTGCCTTCAATTCAATTTCACTGGCAAATGGTTCAATAACTTTTCACCTCTATAAAATATGGATACCTGTTGTATTTCCCGGTTGTAGTTTTCCTTTGTTATAATGTTCACATCATCATTAGATTAGTTGAATATACTACATCCTTCCCAACGAAACTGGGAAGGATGTAGTAGCTTTTGCGGTGTTTAAACACAACTCTTTAGATACTACTCTGACTTCATAGCACTTTAAAGATCTTATTTTCAAGTTTCCTATTGTATTTTTATCAAATTCAAATCTATTATAAATGAAAGTACTTTTATTTCTGAAATACATTTATGGGAATTTTTAAGGATTCAAATATAGTGAATTAGCATTGCGCTAATTTTTCAATGTCAGATGTATATTTCATTTCAGAAGAATATAGAACTGTCGGCAACTACATTTAAGTGGCATAATTAGTTATATAAGATAATAATCAAATAACAAAAGATCTAGGGTATGACATTACAGTGGAAGTAAAATTGAAACAGTTACAACGGAACACACTCGAAGCCCTTTTACATGAACCTTTTTCCTGAAGTACGAAAAATCACTCACTAGCAGCGCTAGTAGTTCGGTAAGGACAAACACTGCCTAATCCTCATATAAACATATGGTAAAGTAAAATTGAAAAAGAATGATTTTAACAGAAGAAAATGTTCCTGAAGCAAAACTAAAATTTGCAACTGTAAAGGATAACAATGTTGTAACATTAAAACGTTGGCTTGGATGCCGTAATTTAAAAGTAACTGGAAAAAAACAATGGATTCATAGACAGGTTAGTATACAGACTCTAGTGAAAGATTAGCGGTAGATTCAAACTGTAGTAAAAGAAATTTAAAATAATTATGAATTTCAGATTTATTTCCGAGTGGAATATGAATCAAATATAGATGGTAATGAAATAAATTTAATTAAATATAATTTAATAAACAATTGAGGTTATATCTCATTCTAATCAATGGTAATTAACTATGAAAAATTTACTATTCATTTCATGTTTAGAGCATACATATGAATTTTTTATTTATTTTTTGCACTATTAAATCCATGTATCCATTTCTTATCGCATGTATCCATTTCTTACGTCTAACCTCATTAATATGAGGTTATAAATGGTATAAAAAACACGTTTTCTTCCGGATATCGATTATTCGACATACAATTCACAAAACAGCAATAATTTGTTGGCATTATACTAGCACAAAATAATTTTTTATCAGATTTATATTTTCAAATAATAAATTAATATTACGTAAATAACACTGTTTTACATATGGATAGTTTATGTTGCTTCACAAGTACCTTCTCCAGTTTGAATTCATTTTTTTCTTGTAATGCTAGTAGGAATGCTCAGCCTGGTGCCTTCTGAGTCAAGATTAACATTTTTAGAGATTATTCATCAGTTTTAGATTTTCAGGTCGAAATGGAAACATTCTAATTGATTACAGTTATTTATTTTGAATCTTCAACTTGAAATTTTTCAAAGAATGTATAGTATTAACAGTATCTTCAAGCCTAGTCTGTATATTCACAGCTTGTATGGACCACTGTATTGCTTGCCTGAACATATTCTGTGCACGATTTAAACTTTGGGGTACCAAAAATCCAAACCATCTCAACGGTTCCTGGACACTTTCGTCATTCGATTTCTTAATTTGTTTCAAGTCATATGACCTCCCCCAAGATTCATCATGAGCAACTATTTTAACAACAGCGGAAAATTTTGGACTATCTTCAGTTGGTAACTGAATAGACGAAACATTGTTATGGCCGATTATATATCTTGCTTTTGCAAGATTAGTTTCGCCTTCACACATAGCATTTTCGATATTTAATTTAAGGTGTATTTCCTCTTGGGTCAGCAAAAGTGCATCTAAAGTTAATTTATCAAGTATATTGCATACTTTATCAAGATCTTCTGTAACCTCGGTCATTTTTATTTCCATAATATGATTAAGTATTAATCGAATTCGAAAATTGATACATCTACTAAAATACAAATTAACCTATAATTTTATTCTTCTTCTTTTTCCATTAATGGCTTCAGCTGCCAGGACTATCCAGCCAGGAGTTCCAGGATCATGTTGCTACTACAGGTAGAGCCCACACTAAAGTTGATCTGAGTTGGACCCAAACCCCACTTGGTTTTGCGCTATAACAAAGTTCGACTGTAGTTTGAGGTCAGTTAACAAGCAATGTCCGTCTGCATTAGAGTGTAAGCACTAATGTGAGGTGATGCACTACGGTTACGTGTATGGAACTACGATCGGGTCATGATTGGCGAAGCACTGCATGCGCACAAGTATTAGGTCTATCTTGATCACTACAGCTTTATATTGGATGCAATCAGGAATTTGGATATGGTTTGTATGTTAGATGGTGATATATGTTTGAAAAATATATCTTGGAAGGTAAGAGGCTGAATGGTTGAAGAAGGGATTTTTTCAGTTGCTCAGATATGCACAAACAATGATGGAATTTTCTGACAAAGGTGTAGACTGCAACGTTATCAGTTGTAACAGAGTTATTCTACTTCACGGCCCACCAGGTACTGGTAAAACTTCTCTGTGTAAGGCTCTGGCACAAAAACTAACTATAAGAATGAGTGAAAGATTCACATCTGGTCTTCTAATAGAAATTAATAGTCACAGTTTATTTTCGAAATGGTTTTCTGAGGTGAGTGTTTTTAATACTTTTTAAGCAATAGTAATAATATAATAACATTAATATATTTCAGAGAATGCTCTATATTTCATAAAGAAAACATCAAACATAAAATGAAACGTCACACAATTTCTACAACAGGTTTATAACTTATCTAGATATGCCTGAAGTGAATAAGGTTCTCACTTGATCAAAAGCTCTGACACCTGTTTTGAATTTTTGCAGGCTCTCTAACATTTTAAGTCTCTGTGGTAATTTATTGAAAAACCTTATAGATACATAGGATGGATACCTCTCTGACACTGTCAATGTGTGAATTAGAAAAGATATATTCATATTGCGCTTAGGATAATTATGATTTGGTCTAGCTTTCAAAATTCTACTTTTATTTTTTAATAAGTATACTACACTCTCATAGATAGAGATCGCATATACTGTCACAATATTATTTGCCTTAAAGATTCCCCGGCATGACTGACGAAAGTTCAGTTTGAAAATAACTCCCATAATTCTTTTTTGGATAAGGAATATATCAGAGGTATTACTGCTGCTTCCTCAGAATATCATACCAAATTTAAGTAAAGATTCAAAATTCGCAGAATATATAATGTTTAATAATTTTTCATTGAGGTAGGAGCCAATAACTCTGATACTATAACATATTTGATTCAATTTTTTTCCCAGATTTGTAATATGGCTTATACCAATGCAAGTGTTCGTTAACATATATACCAAGAAATTTTGTTGAGTTCTGCACTGCAAGTTCATTGTTTGANCTATAACACCACCAATCCATAAATCATCATTGTTTGAGAGAAGTTTTTCCTATAATATATCGACCACTTTCATTTTAGGAGTATAAAACTCTCCTCCTTTCGAAAACATTAGTTTGAATTTATGAAATCCTCTGATATCTAGAAAGCGGTTATTCGAATCAGTACATATATCTATAGTTTTACTCAATTTTGATTTGTAGTCTGCGATCTTTTGTACTGCTTGTCCAAAGGTTGAGTGGAAGACCATCTTTGTGCACTCCAGGTGCTCAAGATGAACTCCGCCTTTCCAGTTTGCATAGAAAATGTTGTAGCGTATTTGATATATCTTATCCTTTTTTTAATTCTGTGTTCTACTGAATAATTGTATTATTAATTATCGATACACTCACCTTTATAGGTATTTACAATTGATTAAAATTATCAGAACAGAAATTCGTTTCTTCTTAGAAGCCTTATGGAAACTAGTGCACTAATGTGAAGTCAGTATGATAACTATCAATCTATGGATTGCACATGCACATTATGATTTCATATCTACTATTTGTACAATAACACAATTGAAATTCCTCAAGGATTCCCTAATTTCTTGTAACGAAGAAAAAATTAATGTGGTCGGTGAAGAGTACATTTTCCTTACAGTTAGTTCATTTCTTTAATGCCCCCTTTTTTATTTTTTGAACGGGTCAACTCAAAAAATTGAAATTTGGAATAATGAAATGAATATTGGGAAACCATATTGTAGGACCTCTATTAGTGATCGATCAAAATTTAACAATGGAACTGTATTTGAATATGCTGGAAACTACAGTTGTCCTTCTCATCACTGAAATCGTCGAAGCGAATCCTAATGAATTCGATATGGATATTGTATTCCAACAAGATGAAGCACCACCACATTACTCCCGAGAAGTAAGAAACTATTTGGATACTACTTTTTCCGGTCGTTGAATTGACCGTCGAGGTCCTACAGAATGGCCAGCCTGCTCGCCAGATTTGACACCTTTGGACTTTTTTATGGGGATATTTGAAGCAGAAGATGTACGAAACTGAACCTGCTTTAATATTGGATATACGGCAGAGAATAATAAATATTTGTAGGTAGAGATATTGACGTTACTGTGTTCGGAAATGTTCGGCGTGGAATATCGGATAGGCTGTTCAAGGCAACCACTTCGAGCATATTCTGAACTGACCTCAGGCTTATTATCTTATATTATGTAGTTAAATGTCAATGTATTCAGGCAATTATTGAATGTTCCGCCATTTTGTAGTAGTTGAAGATAATGACGTTATATTCTAGCGCTGTGAAGCATTTGTCAGGAGCTTCAAAAAAATGTGTCACAAGACCCCCCTTTCCATTTAATTTTTTTCCAGATGGCGCCCAGTCGCCATCTTGAAAGTTTCATCTGTCAATTTCACTTCAAAATAAAGTATTTATGCATTAATTTCATTATTCCAAGTTTCAATTTTTTGGGTTGTCCCGTTCAAAAAATAAAAGGGGGGGGAGCATTAAAGAAATGCACTGTATATGTAATGAATATGAACATACAATTTGTAATATTTTCAAAAGAATGAACGGAATTTAGATAAGGAAAGTAGGTCGAGTGGCACCTTGTTTTAAAGGTCTTTCGAATTGGCATTTCGATTGGCAGAAGAGGTCTAATTGAACGGCCAGCACGGTCACCAGATTTAACACCACTGGACTAGTTTTTGTGGGGATATTTAAAGTCTAAAGTTTATGCTACACAGCCAGCCAATTTCGATGAATTACGTCGTAGAATTATTGATGAATGCCGAGCTATAACTAATGAGATGTTGAATAATGTAAGAGCAAAATTCGAACAAAATTTTTATTGTTGCATGCGGAGCAAAATGGCGCACATTTTGAACATTTACTCTAAATTTCCTATGTACCGAGCTTTTTTTAAAAATCTTACTTTTTATATTCAAAAACGGCTCTGTTAAGTTTTCGTTGTTACACACTGTATTGATTTCAACCAACTGAATGGTTAAATTATTCAGATTGTGAGAAATTGGTTTTCCACATTTGAATAGTTGTTATGAATTTAACAAATCATGTTTTAATAAAGTGATTCATTTTATCCTAGAAATGAAAAGTAATTATATTATTTGCTTCTAAACATTATATTTCAGATCACAAAATACATAAAACCTCTCTTTGATAGAATATGGTACAACAAATAAGGTGTCATTGAATGTACAAAGGCAGGAACAAAAACATAACTAAATCAGTCATAATAAATGATTTAAAATGACAATATTTACAAGAACAACAAATTAATGTAAAACCTCGCCTCACTAAATTCAAATTAGAAGAAGCAAACAAATTGTTAATTCAAAGCCGTTTTTTTCAATTTTGAATATTATTGAATATCATTTAGATTTTTTTCTGATTTACCGTTATTTCCATTATCTACCTTTTCATCCGTTTTTTCAGCTTCATATACTTTCTCTTCAAGCTGTTGAACTTGTTGCGGTTTGTCTTCATTTTCATTAGTTTGCTTATTGTTAGCTCCTGTTTTTTCAAATTCTTCAACTTCAGCATTCTCGGAGATTCCCTTTTCAGTTGCTGGCTCACTGGATACTGTCTGTGGATTTTCAGGTTTTTCCTCATTACCATCATCAAATGTTTTTTGTGGATGTTCACTGTCCATTTTGTCCTCTGTATTGAGTGAAGCTTTCGCTTCAAGTATCCCTATTGCTTTTTCAATGCATTTTATAGCTTCCTTCCGGGAAGATCTGATACTCTCTTGTCCTTGAACATCAATATTATCCAACTTTATCAAATTTCTTGTAAGCATTTCATCTAAATACAAAAACTGCTTGTTTCGAGATTTACCAGTAAACTGCTGAACCTGTTCCATCAAACTAGATACATCTTTCTGAATAACCTGAATTTGTTCTATAGGTGTCAAACATTTTTGTTCGTGACAAGTAGATTGGTGAGAATTATTACTTTCTGCTTCAATATCATCTCTTTGTGTATCGTGTTCATTTGGCACTGATACTTTCGAGGGTTGGTTAGGTTGTTGAAAACTTGTTGCTTTTGTTGGTTCGGCAGAAAATTCATGCCAATCATCTGCAAACTCTCTGGGATCACGTTGTATAAACTTTGTGAATTGCTCTGGTCTTTGTCCAAAAATTTTTTCAGGCCCACAAAATGACTGTTGAGATTGTGATTGACTTGGAAATATATTCTTAGGAACGATAGGTGTATCTCTGCCTTCAATTTGAATTGGAATAATTCTTTCCGTCGATTTTGTTTCTGAATGCGGAAGATGATATGACATTTCTTCAGTTAACGGATTCACCGCAAAAGTTTTCTCTGTTTTTTCTGTAGGGGGTGTTGACCTAGATCTCTCTTTTCTTTCCTCAAGTAAATCTTGTTTCCGGTCGAAATCTATGGTATTACTTTGTTGAACATAAGGTTTCTGTTTTTTTGGAATTTGAGATGAACTTGAAAATTTGGAAAAAGAACCATGTACTTGAGAAGGTGGTTCTTTCTCCTGTCCTTCAGTTTGTTCTTGAGGAGAAGAATACCTTTGATTAAACTTATTTTGAGGATATCCTGTTCTTGACTGATATTTCTGATATGGATTGAAACCTTCCGTAAATTGTTCAGAATCTAAATCTCTGGAGAACGGAGATTCAAATAGGTCTAAAGACCTTCCAAATCTTGACCGGAATTCTTGATCATCGGCTAAACGACATGACCTCTGACTAGTAGGTTGAGTAAAATTATCAAGGTGCTCTGTTAATTGTGGATATCGTTTTTTGATGTCATTCAATTTTGACTGAAGGTGGTCGCTTTGCTCGGCATCCGTTTCAAATGGGTAACCACTCTGAAAAAAAGATATATTTAAATAATATGTGAATACCTGTGAATCAATAATAACTTATTTATGTATTTTAGCAAACTTTTGAATTTTATGGGGGAATCACTCGAGAGCCAAAATACGTAAGTTTTGAGTAAATAAATGAATATCCCAAGAACGGTTCATTTTTGGTTTCGGGTGTTTTACATAACTCACATTAAAATTATGTCTGGTATTCAAAAATGTGGAAATAACAGGTTATTCATTACATTTGAGTTGAGAAAGTTGTTACCAACTTCCGGACTAATCGGGAGTGTTGAAAAAACGCCATTACTTTCATTTGATAGAGCATATTGAAAAACCTATATTTGCCAATTTTCAGGATATGAATCCTATGATTTCACAAAATACAGCTAAACGATGGTCATCGGATGTATCCTGTATATGTGTCTGTAAAAGTTTTGAAACTGAACCTGTATGAATTGATTTTGTATTTATTTTTCCCGTCTTCCTTATAAGAATGTTGAGAAGGTGTTGCATAAAATGAGTGAAATATATTCTTGTACCCGATACTTTTTTACTGAATATAATTATTATGCCAGAACAAAATACAGAATATACTTCCACTTATTTTATGAAAGCGATCTGTGGCTCGCACACTTTTTTGGTGCTATATTAATGATACATTTCCTTGTAATAATGTTTTAAAATTTTGTATTGATGATTTTTAGTGATAAAAGAAGCTTGATGCAGCCTTTTTGAGAACTTAATGCAATTTTGAACAGTCGAACAGGGTTACATCATATTTTACCCACAAATAAGAAATTTATAGCAGAAGATGATGATTCAATGTTGTATGCTGCATTTGAAAATATAAGTTTATGTAAAAACTTAAATTATAATCTTGATATATACGAAAATGTAATTTCGTATCCAATTGATAGTAAGACAATGTGTGAAGTTCAAATTTTGATATCACTTTCAGAACTTCCTAGAATATGTTTGATTTTCACTTTTATTTGGAAATGATTATAATGGCTATAATAGCTCATTGCATTATCAGACCCCTTAGCTGTAATGATAAATTGTGTTAAGAAAATGTTAAGAAATTTAATTTAATATTTAATTTAATTTGATATAATCATATTATACAAAAGCACTGTAACAATAGGATTCTCAAAATCAATATACAATTTTTATACAATTTATACAATTGAAAATGATAACAATACAATAAATATGATAAATATGAAATGATATATATACACACACATATACATATATATACCATACATTTTTACTAGGAAATATACTATACATTTTATAGTTCAGCAAGTTAATCGAGGATTTGGTTAGCTATACTAATTTCTGATTACATTACTGAGTTTGGCACCTAAGTGATTGAACACTTGCATTGTGCAACTCTATTATATATGCAGATTTCAAATAAGTCTTGTAACAAAATGGCTCAGGAATAATATTAAAACATAATGAAAATTTCATAAGCGTATGTCAGCAAAGAAGTGTAAATGTTGCAATTATTTATTTATTCAGTATTTTTAGAAAGGGGTAATAATTATGAAAAATATATGTTTTTGATAGAACACTGAATTTCTTAAATTTTTTTTTTCTTTTATACTGGATGGAAGAAGGTTGAATGCTTTAGGTAAAGTATATATTAAACATAAAAACCACCCTGTAATATTTTTCATATTGAAAATACTGTTTCTGTCAAAAGAGTTGTCAATTTTTACCAATGTACTTACGTCAATAAAAAGTAAAAAAGTGTTTGCCTATAAATCGTATTGTTGTTGGGGTTTGCAGTAATCGCTATACGAACAGTAGATACTATGACAATTTCCATTGAACTGAGAGAACCGGAGTTAAACGGGTAGTTTTTTTTCTGGACTCTACATTTTTTGGCGACCGTGACGGGACAATTGTCATTGAGACTGCTCAGATTACCCTTCAAGTACTTGCTGTTCTTTCCGAAGTAAAAGTATAGAAGGTAATGAAAAGCATCGTTCCGTTTTACGTAGATCATTTACGTTACTAACATCTGATCTCGAAAAGTTAATGTCAGCAACCCCACGCGATAATCAGCAGATACATATATGCTACGACTTAATTCAAGCAAAGATGGAGGACCTACAAGTTGTAGATGATAAGGTGTACCAGGACTTCCTGCAGAGTGATGCTACCGAGGATGAGTTATTGGCAGACATGCAAATTGTGACTCTTACAAAAGGAAGTTTGCAGCCCTGAAACTCTAGTATGAGGAAATATTCAGAAAGGTAACCCATGAAGTAGAACACATCGATGATGCAAATTCTGAATGTTCTCACGTCAGCATTAAAGGTAGGCGTTTTAAATTACCTTTAATAGAATTTAAGAAGTTTGCTGGTGACATTCGAAACTGGTTACCATTCTGGTCTCAATTCAAGAAGATCCACGAAGCCAGAGATGTCGAGGCAATCGATAAAATCGATTATTTGATTCAGGCAACTGTACCTGTTAGTAGAGCAAGGCAACTAGTAGAGAGTTATCCAGTTATTGCGGAAAATTATCATCATATTATCAAAGCCATGTTATCTCGTTTTGGCAGAGAAGATCTTCAAATTGAGGTCTACGTCAGAGAATTGCTCAAGTTGGTTTTGTGTAATGCTACATCTGAATTTAAGCTTGAATTGGCTTAGATACTTTAGGCATTACATCAGATAAGTGTTCTGCGATGCTTTTTCGTCTCATCGAGTCATGCCTCCCTCAAGATTTATTGAGAGCATGGCAACGTTCCCCGCATAGATTTGAACCTGAAAATTCAGGAAGTGCTATAAATATCTCAACGGAGTCAGGTCCAGGTAAGTTAGACACTCGCCTTAAAAATCTCATGAAGTTTCTGAAAACCGAAGTTGAAAACGAGCAGCGTATTACATCAAGGTAACGCCAGTGCTGATTTATCAAGAACTGTTTCGAACTCTTCGGCTAAGAAAAATGTGAGTTCACCGGTACCCACCGCCGCAAACTTGATTAGTTTCAATTCAAATTGTGCATTTGGTGGGGGTTCTAATCACATTGGTGAACACTGTTTCAAAGCACAGAAGATGTCTTTGGAGCAAATAAAACGTATTTTTATCAGTAACAAACTTTGTTTTAGAAAAGCTGTCATGTTTCAAAAAGATGTCGTGGACATCCTAGATGTGCTATCTGTCAAAAATCTCATCTGGTAATAAGGTGCCCTGATTTGCCTAGCAACAAGGAGTCCCTTGATACTCTTGATCATAGTAAGAAACCATGAGAGTGAACATATTTGGTGCTAATGGGTCAAAGTACGTGAGGGCTCTGATCGATAGTGGTTCTCAACGATCATACATTCTTAAGTCAACTACTGAGAAATTGGGATGCCAATCAGTGGGTAACGAAAAACTTATTCATTGTTTATTTGGGGGCTCTCAAAATGAACGACTTCATGAATGTTATGTGGTCAAATTAAGTTACAAGTGTTTCTGATGAATTGACTTTCAATATGTTTTTGTAAGAAGTCACTATGATTATAGCAGAGGGTAAGTTTGACTTAAGAGGGTGGGAGTTCACTAGAAAAGACAGTAACTACAACAACGAAGATGTAGTACCTTTGCCAGATGTGGGATCCAGTACGAGAAACACTGAATATTAATCCAAGCTGCCTAAAAGAAGTGATCTCACAAGAAGAATACATTACCAAAAGAATAATTTTGTCAATGGCTCAACGTGTCTTTGATCGTATAGGCTTTGTGTGCCCGGCCACATTAGTTCCAAAATTGCTGTTACAAGAATTGTGGAATAAGAACTTTACCTGGGACGAGCCTGTAGATGAAGACACATCTGTTGAATTTAGAAATTGGTTTCATGAACTGCCTAGTCTATTAGAAATAGCTATACCTAGATGGGTAGATATTGCTCCAACTTCTAATTTTGTTTGCTCTATTCATACGTTCTGTGATGTCAGTAACACAGCCTACTCTGCAGTTATATTTCTAAGTGTTGTTAAGAATCAACAAGTATCTATCCATCTCCTAGCGGCGAAGTCTAGATTGGCTCCTATTCAAAAAAAAGGGAAAATTTTGACAATTCCAAGGCTAGAGTTACTTGCAGCAACAATTGGCGCAAGATTGTTCAGAAATATAGATAATTTAGAATTCAAACAAATAACGAGCTATTTCTGGAGTGATTCGTCTACGGTAATTTCCTGGATACAAAGAAAAGAAGAATGGTCCACATTTGTGTGGAATAAAATTGCTGAAATCCGTAGTTTAACTCCTTCAGATGCATGGAAACATATTCCTGGGATTCACAATCCTGCATACCTTCCATCGCGTGGTTGTTCTCCAAAAATTCTGCTCCGTTCGAGATGGTGGGAGGGGCCAGCATGGCTCTATGAAATGCCAGATAAGTGGCCTAGTGACACTGTCAACTGCAATGAAGAAGAAGTCTAATGTTTGCTCTGATTTTTGGCATTTAACTGTTTTCTCAAAATTTTTCCAAACAGTAAAGCTAGTGGCTGCTGTCTTCAGATTTATATTCAATTTGAAAACTAAAAAAAGCTAGCCGGAATTGTGGGCCACTGACTTGCGAGGAAATAAACGCCACTGAAATATTCATTTTGAAAATTGTTCAAGAAGAAACTTTTCCAGACAAAGAAAAGGATAAAACCATCATCAGTCTGTCTCCTTTCTGTGATGAAAATGCTAAACATCCTACAGTTCATCAAATAATTTTTCAGGAGCACGTACGGTCTTGTCATGTAGGAACTCAATGATGGTTGGGCATTCTTCGAGAGCGGTGTTGGGTACTAGGTGGACGTCGTGCCGTTCGATCTGTAATCGTTAAATGCTTCACATGTAGGAAATTCAATGCAAAAAAGTTGACTGTTAACTCCCCTCCATTACCAATCGATCGAGTTCGCGATGCCAATGTGTTTGAAATAACAGGTATCGACTTTGCTGGACCTTTGTTTTTGAGAAACGGAGACAAAGCTTACCTTTGTCTATTCACTTGTGCCGTTTATCGTGCGTACACCTCGAACTAACTACTTCGTTGTCAACTAATGCTTTTATGTTGGCTTTGAGACGTTTCGTTGCTTGCAGAGGTCGGCCTAAGACAATTTATAGTGACAACGGTAGATGTTTCGTTGGTCTAGAAAATGCTTTTGGAAAACTTGACTGGTCTAAAATTTCGGAACAGTGTTTGTCGCAGCGCATTACTTGGCGTTTCAACCCTCCGACAGCCGCATGGTGGGGTGGGTTCTGGGAAAGTTTAGTTGGTGTTGAAGACTCTTCTCCGAAAAGTGTTGGGTCGGACTTCCCTGAACTATGAAGATTTAACAACTTTGGTTTGCGAGTATGAAGCTGTAGTAAATAGTAGACCAATTACTTATGTATCTAACGATCCAGCAGATCTAGTTTCCTTGACTCCTGCTATGTTTTTAAATGATCTCAGTAATGAGTATAGTATGCCTGATTGTGATCAAATAGACAGAAAGTCTCTCTGTCGTAAAATGAGACACAAACAGAAATTGAGAGGTGATCTGCGTCGACGTTTTAGAAATGAATATTTGGGAACGCTGAAAATTGCATCAAATAAAATATCATCTTCCTTGGTGAGATTGTTCTGGTGGGTAAAGACAATCAGAAGCCCATTGAGTTGTCAATGGGTCGAATTATTGAACTTTTACCTGGGAAAGATGGTGTAGTTCGCCTGTGGTTCAAACTAAGAATGGTCAAATTCTTCGACCAGTACAGAAGCTGTATCCTTTGGAATGCTTGGATCCGGATGTTTTTGTGAAATCACGATCGGAACATGTTGCAGAAGAATTCCAGTCGCCATGTCTTCTAGTTGAAGAAGTTGATAGTGCAGGAATGAATTAAAAAAGCAGAGTATCCGATTACGATAGTGTTTCGCAAGTGCGTTCGGGCAAATCGAGAGTGTCAAAAAGCAGCGTACCCGATTCCGTTATGAAAGCGCGTAGTGGCAGAATTTCGAAAAAACCTGCCAGATTTAATATGTGAGAAATAATATTATGAATAATAATATTTCTCAGGTGGGAGAATGTTAAGAAATCTATTTTGAATTTTGTACAAAACCACCCTGTAATATTTTTTCATATTGAAAAAACTATTGCCTGTCAAGAGAGTTTTCAATTTTCGCCAATGTACTAACGTCAATAAAAAGTAAAAAAGTTTTTGCCTATAAATCGTACTGTTGTTGGGGTTTGCAGTAATCGCTGTACGAACAGTAGATACTCATTTAACAATTTCCATTGAACTGAGAGAACCGGAGTTAAACGGGTAGTTTTTTTCTTCTGGACTCTACAAATTGTTAAAAACGTGAAGTTGAAACGCGAATTATTAAAACCAATCCAATCTTTAAACTCCAAGCTAATTGTAATGCTTTTATTGGAAACACAAGAATTTATTCAGAAATGCTCACAAAAGAACAAAACGTAAGTTACGTATTAAAAAAAAAACACTTTATTGTGAGATTTTTACTAAAGGATTTTACAAAAACGCAACACGTGTTTCGCCATACATTCGCCATTCGCAACACGTGTTTCGCCATTGTATCGGCCAATTCCATCATATAAAACGTAACTTATAAAAGTCATCCAATTTTAATCCCATATCAATGTTGCAAAGATGTACCAGAAACAAAAAGAAAGCGTACCACATTTGAAACCTTTGAAATTGAGCAAATTAAATGTAGACAATATCAATATTGCTCAACATAAATTAGATCATTCAGATCAATTAGATAAAATTATAAATGAACTATTCCTAAACCGACATGTTTCATGGTTTACGATTTTCCCAATTGTAATAGTTGTAACATTTATAATACTATACATATTTTGTAAATGTAGAAAAAGGCGTTTTATGCAAATTGGTATAATAACATCAATCAATGATGATCAACAACCTGGATCCAGAAGAACTTTTCCATCATTTCGAAAATTACCCCCAGTTCCAGGGAAAAGACCTAGTATCCACCTAGAGAAACACATTGAGGAAGAAATCGAACTAAATTCCAATACAAAATTTGCTTGATTGAACGTTGCAGCACCGCATCAACTTTTTTTTTCAAGGGGGAAGTTGTTTTATTGGAAAAATCAAAGCATCCTCTGTCTATGGATTGCACCATAATAACAAAGTATTGCATCAGCCACTACCCAGGAAATGTCTCAGCATATTCAGCACATTTCTATGATTTTTCTGGAATAATCGAAGAAACGCACATCTACATCAGCAGTTTCTGATCCTACAAAAAAAGTCTGTTTAAAATGTTTTTCAGCTAACCAGCTGTCGCACCCCTACGAACAACAACCCTCAGTAGTCGAAACTTGTGCAAGCTAAGGATTAACGAGGTCTTACCTTTTAACGTGTGATTCCTAACACGGGTTGGACGATAGCAAGTGAAAATCGATCGTTCAGACTGGGGTTTGAACCACCGACCAACACAGCAGTCAATTCAAGTGAGTGAACAAAGCACCCATGTCGAACCGCCTGGCTACCGACCGATGGGAGAATAAGATATATATAAAATCGAGAAAGGTTAATGCAGTCAAGCTGTTGGAAAATAATTCTATGAAAATCAAAAGTTGAATAGATAAGTACTATTCTGATCACTCCCATAATGATTTCAATTTAAGAGCCACCGGTAGGCAGCTGTTTCAGACTATTGGGACATTAAAGAAATGCATGTGGCTTAATCAATTTGTTTGACCAAAATTACCAGAAAAAATATATTTGAAGGCACTATAGTAGCAACAGAAAATACAGTTTGGAAGAGCATCTAAAATTTCCATATAGAGGTCCGCTGCCACTGAACAGAAAATACTGTTGGGAAGAGCATCTGAAATCATTCATAATACTGCCTTTAGAATCCTTTGAATGGCCGTAGGAGACTTGAGAAAAAATAAAAACTTTTTCTTGTACTATATTTCTAGATGGAAATCCGCTGCGACTGAACAAAAAATACCATGAGAAAGAGCATCTGCAAACCTTCATAAAACCACTTTCAGATACTTTTGGATGGCCGTAGGAGACTTGAAAAAAAATTTAAACTTTTTCTTGTTCTATAAAATTTCCAGATGGAGAATTTTTGACACTCAAAATATTTGGGTGGATTGCTGATAGTTTCCCCAAGAATTACTGAGATTGTTTGCGGTTTTGTAAACTGTCCAGTGAAAATCTCACCACAAAGTGTTACTTGAACACATAACGTAATCATACCACCGCTACAATTGGGGTCACATAAACTATCCAGTGAAAATGAAAGTGTTACTTGGATACGTTTTGGATTTTCATTAAGTATCAACCAATTCCATCACATGCTAAAAATATGATAAAAGATTAAATTGAAAGAGGTATATTTTTAGGAGAGAATAATTTTTGGGAAGGAAGGGTTTTGGTTTTCTAATTCTCCATCTTTATACAAAAAACTTGAGAATCTTCCAAAGGAAGGAAGCAATCTATTTGTAAAAAATTAACTCTATACAAAGATGTGTAGATCGTGCAAAAAAGAAACTTTCAGACACAAACAAGAAAAACCCCTCTCGAATCAGCTATTTTCGTATGAACATTGAATTACAGGGAACAAATACTTTTATATGAACACTGAATTATCCAAAAAACCACTTTTCATTTTTCTATTCATTAGCTATTCATTGAAATTAGATTGTACTGAAAAATCTATTGAATACATATTATAAACATATTTCAATACTTCTTAAAAAAATTAGTAAAAGCAATAAACAAAATAATGCCTTAGGCAAATATATCTATTTTGGGCATATTGACTATTTTATTTACGCAATATATCAAATTCCCAAACTCTACATTTTCGGCAAAAAAAATCAATATTCTTGATACTTACAAATGTTGACTTTGAAAATGGCATATTCACCGAAATTTTCTCGGATAACACTTAACAGAGCAGTATGGAAAACTAAGTTTATGTTCTTGGCAAAGAATCATCTGGAATTACTATAATTAACAATTGATATTTAACATCAGAACATACTGTTGAACATATATTCAAGTGACATGAGGAAACACAAAAACAGTTGTATGTCGAAACTCATTTCAGGAGTTCATCATTTTAATGCAGGAATTTTTATCTGGTGTATTTGACAAAAATGGGAAAGGGGGGTCAATGCAATAAATGTAATTTGCAGATGAAAATAATACTAACTTGTAAAAATAATTGCAGTCAAAATTGGCATTCAGATTTAGACATTAAAATTTAAGCTACGACGACACTTGACATTAGGTACACATAATACCATAAGTGATAGATAATACTAAGCAATTATTCTGTGTTAGGTGCGTTCGGTTTTGAAAATCTGTAGTGAGCAGATGCAGATTTTATACCACGTGATCAGAGTGGACGGAGTGAAATATATTTAACGAACGCTCGATTCTATCTGAATGAAAAGTTGATATTTGTGGTATAATTCATCATAACCAGACCTCTAACATTTGATTGATGGAGTTTTTTTTAAACAACTGTTATTTATAAATTTCTTTTTAGAAGGCAAACTTTTTTAAAAAACTATTTGAAGACTAGCGTCAAAAAAGCCATTACTGTGTCAACAAGAAAGTGTCATGAGTTTTTTTTGAAGACAGTGAATTGCTGACAAATAATAGTTCAAAATTTCACCGAATATTAATAATTTTTCAAAAATACCTGACACAAAATACCTCAGAAGAGACATTCATCTTGAGGTGTCAGTTTCTATGACCTTTATTCTGTAATCGATGTCATTTTTAGCAGTTAATGTAAATTATTTGAAAATCATAAGATATATGATCTGATAGCAGTCGAAGAATTGCTTTGATGTCATCTTGGCAGGTTGTTAAGCTAACATTTCAACAATTCCAACCAAACTAGCTTAATTTCATCAAGTTAAAAATTACTAAGGACTCGACAAAACTTCATTGGTTGGCAGTAATCTCCTCGAGATTCTCATAAAGTTCTTGGTTCCCATTCCGTACTGAGTGTTCTTTCTGTAAGGTATTCTGTATCCTAACGTTGATTTCAGAGCTAATGGATCACCTTCATTTCCTCACTTAGTCAAATATCAATAAACTCCCGAAAATACCAGAAACATGCGGAACCATTTTTACGAGAATATGGTCCATTCAATGAATTATGTGCAAGTAAAATAATGGATACCCACAGAACTTAAACATTAAACATAGAGTTTAAGTTCTGTGTGGATACCCCAATGAAGGAAATATTTTCATAACTGCCAATTCATCACCATGCCTTGATTTTCCCCTAGATTATTTTTTGTCTCTCTTCAGTCGAGTAAGAATTATTTATACATTTAAGTTCGCAAATAGAAATATGAAATCTAAATCTAGAGAAAACGAAAGAAATAAAAAATTGTTATACTGCAAATTTTTTCTATTTGTTGTTGTCCATGTTGATTTTTTTTCGATATTATATTATGTTGGATTTCAATAGTTTGGACTTCCATTGTCTAATATGATATAAATTGATTTGAAATACCTGAAAGAATCTTTTTTTTGGTTGTTGCTTGTATTTTATATCATATTTAAATGTTGAATTCATTATTTCATTTTTTTTTTTAAGTATTTAAATAATTTTTTAAAGAAAAAGGTTGAAATGATAAGTTCAAAATGCGTTGTTTTAAAGCTCTTTTATGAAAACTACTTGATTTTCGTCAGAAGGAACATTCTCCATTATCAAGAAAAGCATGAAAAAGGTAACTTAGAGTGAACCAAGTAAATTAAACAATTAAACATAAAACACACATTTCTTCATAGTTTTCCTCTTACCTACTCACTACTAACAACTACAAAAACTCCCTATAATACACATATCATCAACTATTCTTGATAAAACTAACAATTTTGAAAGGCAACTGGTTTCTGTGTTCACTTCATTTTTATTCTCTTCAACTGAAGTGTCATTTGGCATAGGCCAATAACCCAGGTCCTTCCTTCATCAAATTGAAAGAATATTGAAAATCAAAAAGACGCACTTGATTTGACTGTGTAGAGTCGCCGTGGAACAGTTCGGTTGTCTCTGAATAAGTTGATAATTTTTTACCTTTGTAAAACAACAAAAACATTTTATAGTTTGAATAAAACGTGTGTACATATAAGAAGTTCACTAATAACAGTCTGTAATGTTCCTAATACAAATCATAATACTTACTGAAATGGACACGAGTGAAACCAACCTCATGGATATCTCTGACTACAGGGGTACTCGAAATGAACTACAGAGTAACATTCCCTCAATGAACCCACAACCCCAAACTTATTCAACAGTTACACAGAGCTTCAGATTTTCCTCGAGAGAGCAAGCCATTATTTTTCCCTCCATTGAAGGGGTGAGAATTCAAGGTTATGTACTCGCTCTTGGAAACAAAGTACAACCAAAAGACATAATATTATCCTCTAAAATATCAAACAATAGAGTTTGCATTTATCTGTCCAGCCAAAACGTAGTCGATACTTTCATGATTCAAGGCAGTGAAATTGTGATTAACGACCAGCGTTTTAAAGCCCGCAGATTGATAACTCCTGTAACACGTCTAATATTATTAAATGTCTGTCCAACAATACCACACCTTGTGGTTGAAAATAGTCTCAAAGATCTTGGCATTACAATTGTCTCTCCCATTACTTTCCTTAGAATCGGAATATCCCAACCAGAATGCAGTCACATACTCAGTTTCAGAGGGCAGAGGCAACAACTTGAAAATTCCGTCGAAAATCTCATTGCTCCAGCCAAAGAGCCTTTCGAAAAAAACAAATCCTCAAACATGCTCGACTTCAACCACATGGTCAGCTTTTTAGAAAACTCTTTCGGGTCATCAGATCCTTTGAATGTGGCAAGAGATCAAACCAACGACATACATACCCTATTAGCAACTCTATCAAAAATGTACCCGACCCTGACAGAGAGAAGTATTAAAATGAAAATCACAAAAATTCGAAAAAAGATTCTGAAACAGCTCAACCAGGAACTTGAAACCAGTTCCAGCCTAACATTACCAGAAAATGATAGTGAATTATTCCAGGAAACCTATTAAAACAGCATATCTAACTATAATACCATACATATCATAAGCATTCATATTACAATGGAACATAAATGGGGTCTATCCCCATATGGAGATGCTCCAACTTCTGGTCAATGAAGTACAACCTATTGTAATTTGTCTCCAGGAAAGTAACTTCAAAAACGATCGTACCTATAAAGTAAAAAACTACAATTCATGTCATAAAATCAGAAATCACACAGTAAGAGCCGCTGGTGGCGTTAGCATATACACCAGAAACTCAGTTAATACAGAAGAAGTTGCCCTAATCACCAACCTGGAGGCCATTGCAGTAATAGTGAAAACTCCGCAGGAAATGTGCATCTGCAACATATGTATCCCACCAGACCAAGATATTGATATATCAGAATTGATTTCAATAACTAACCAACTACCAAAACCATATGTAGGTATAATCTTGGGTGAATTCAACTCTCATAATACCATATGGGGATGTTCTTAAACAAATCAGAAAGGTATTGAACTGGAAAAATTCATTAATATATCCAATTCGATGTTACTGAATACCGGAGAAAAAACTAGGTTCAACTCCCTGGCAGGTAATCATTCAGCTATTGACCTATCCTTTTGTGACACATCACTCTTCAATAAACTCTCCTGGGAGGTATTACCTGACTTATATGATAGTGACCACTTTCCAATCAGAATAAATAACTCTCCAACGCAGCTGACAAGACAAGAATTCCGTCCAAAATGACGACTCAAAGATGAAACTCTCCTGGGAGGTATTACCTGACTTATATGATAGTGACCACTTTCCAATCAGAATAAATAACTCTCCAACGCAGCTGACAAGACAAGAATTCTGTCCAAAATGACGACTCAAAGATGTGGATAGCCAAAAATGGGCCCTATACAGTGACCTGGTGGAATCAAGAATACACGACATAACGAATATTTGCCTAGACGAAATCAACCATGTTGTAGCAACTTTCACAGGGATCATTACAGAGGCCGCAACCACAGCCATCGGAAAAACCTTCGAGATTAAGAAACATCGCCCTGTACCTTGGTGGAACGAGAATTGTCAGAAAGCAATAAAGGAAACCAAACGAGCTTTCAATAAACTCAAAAGGATTTCACTATTGAAAACAAGATCGAATTCAACAAACTTAGAGCTTACAAAAGATATATCATTAAAAAAGGCAAACGTGAATCATGGGTAAAGTACGTCTCCACTTTAAAACATTCTACGCCACTAATTACGAAATACCTTATCTTATCAAAGACAATCTATCGCTTGAGGATAGATATGACATCGCTAACCTGCTTGCTCAAAACATAAGAGATCATTCGAGTAATAAAATATATGACCAAGAATTCCTTCAATTGAAAAAAACAACCGAAAACAATATTCTTCAAATAGATGCTGATAATGAACACCCAGTAAACTCAAACTTCCTCAACTTCCTCCAGAAGGAAAGACATTTCTATTGGAGATATATAATACAATATTTACCTCAAGACAGTTTCCGAGCAAATGGTTGGAAGCCATTGTATTACCTTTCTGCAAACCAAATAAACCACCTTCCGATCCTACCTCATATAGGCCAATATCCTTGACTTGTACCATATGCAAACTTTTGAATTTTGAATGCTAGATTGCAATTTTTTCTAGAACAAAAAAATCTCATTACCCCACACCAGAGCGGATCCCGAGAACATCGCTCCACTAATCCACCTAATCAACCTCCACGCGGACATTTCTGAATCCTTTGCAAACAAACGAAAGCTTATTGAAGTATTTTTTGACATAGAAAAAGCTTTTGACTCAGTATGGAGACGAAATGTACTGAATGAACTAACTGGCTATGGAATTCAAGGAAATATGATAGCCTTCATCTCTAACTTTCTAAATAACCGGTAATGACTGAATGCACAGTAAGAGTCAACAGGATATTATCGGATTTAAAGATACAAGAAAATGGCATCCCTCAAGGAACATCTCTTAGTGTTACACTGTTTCTTGTAGCTATGAACAACATTCTCAAAGACATCAAAATGCCAGTGAAGGCCAACCTTTATGCAGATGACTTATAGTCTTGTACGCTAGTGGAAAAAATACCAAAACAATATGCAACCCTCTACAGCAAGCAATAAACGTCTTACAAACAGGGTCCCGACACTCAGGATTCCGCTTTTCTTCGAGCAAATCTGAAGGTATGACCTTTTCAAAACAAACTGATGGCAGCATTCCAGTCCTCACTCTGAACGGGAAGCAGTTGAGCTTCACTGATAGGATTAAATTTCTTGGTCTGATTTTTAATAACAAAATGAAGTGGAATCAGCATATCTATTTCCTCAGAAGGTCTTGCACGAATGGTCTCAATTTAATAAGGGTAGGTAGGTAGGTAGGTAGGTAGGTCTGAAGTAAGTGGGTCTATTCGACCCTCCACCGCAACCCATAAGAGTTAATTGTGGCTCACACCTATTCACACTCGGCCAAATAAACCCAGCTTCTTAACGAAGCCGATTAGTTTGTATGGTGAGTGGTCTTTCAGGTCAGATGGTGAGAGTACGGATCTGCCGAACTCAAAAACCTGATTCGGTCCCCAGCGGGGCAGGCACAAAGTATATGCTCTGCAGTTTCATCATTTTCCAGACAGAGACGACACACACTGTCTTCCGACAGTCTCTGCATGTGATGATTCAAATGACAGTGACCTGTAAGGCCTGTTAGACATCGTAGTTCATCCCTACTGTAGTCCAACAACTGTTTGGAATCAAACTTCGAAGGGTGAATAAACGCCTTGGAGTGAGCCAATCCTGGAAGATGCTACCAGAAGTCCATAACTATTCTTGCCATCCAGGTGTTCAGTGTTTGTTTGGCAAAGCCCAAAGCGATACGAATGACAGGTTCTGGCCCAATGAAGCCGCTTGCAGCACCCTCCTTTGCAAGAGAGTCAGCAGCCTTATTGCCTTCCAGGCCAGTATGGCAGGAATCCAAACCAGAGACAATCTGTTTAGTCTTCCTATCGAGGAGAGTCTTTTTTTGGCAGTTTGCTACCAATTTAAACGTTGCTCTGTAGGAGCCAAGAGCTTCCAACGCCGCTTGACTGTCCGAGAATATTTCTATTGACTTGTGTGTGAGGTTGGATTCTACTAATATCGTAATTCATCCCTACTGTAGTCCAACAACTGTTTGGAATCAAACTTCGAAGGGTGAATAAACGGCTTGGAGTGAGCCATTCCTGGAAGATGCTGCCAGAAGTCCATAACTCTTCTTGCCATCCAGGTGTTCAGGTGTTCAAAGCCCAAAGCGATGCGAATGACAGGTTCTGGCCCAATGAAGCCGCTTGCAGCACCCTCCTTTGCAAAAGAGTCAGCAGCCTTATTGCCTTCCAGGCCAGTATGGCAGGAATCCAAACCAGAGACAATCTGTTTAGTCTTCCTATCGAGGAGGGTCTTTTTTTGGCAGTTTGCTACCAATTTAAACGTTGCTCGGTAGGAGCCAAGAGCTTCCAACGCCGCTTGACTGTCCGAGAATATTTTTATTGACTTGTGAGTGAGGTTGGATTTGTCCAATCTCTCCGCACACAATTCAATAGCGTAAATTTCCGCTTGAAATACAGTCGCATAAGTTCCTAGGCAGGTAGATAACTCTGTTCTGGGTCTGCGATTGAAAACACCTGCACCAAAACCAGAAGGTGTTTTTGATCCATCTGTGAACCAACAACTATCTGCTCTCAATATTTCCTTCTCCCGCAGGATCCAGTCCTCTCTACTCGGGAATAGTACTTTATAAGACAGTTCTTAGTTTACAGTTGGAGGCATAAAGTCAGAGAAAAATGTCGAGAGGATGTAGATCTAGAAGGATCTCCATGGCCGCTGATGGTGTGGTACTGATGGCACCACTGATAGCCAGACAAGCCTGTCTCTGTAAGCCAGAGAGCCTCGCTTGGGCCGTTTTCTGTAAAGCCTTCGGCCACCAAGCAATTGCACCATAAGTGATCATTGATCTGACAATCATCACATGAATCCAATGGATTTGTTTGGGACCTAAACCCCAACTTTCACCACAAATCCTTCAACATGTCCATAGAGACAGTCTGGCTTTGTGTAAAACTTTTTCCAAGTGAGCGTTCCAGGTGAGTCTTTTATCAAGGACAATGCCAAGATATTTCACCTCCGTTCCAAATGGAATGACCACACCATTGAGGGTAAGTGGCGTTAGCTCGTCCAATTTCCTTCTCTTGGTGAAGGGGATTCACACAGTTTTGCTGGGGTTGACAGACATCTGCTCCCTCAGGCACCAACTGTGAACAACGTCCAACGCGCTTTGGAGGATATTACAAGCTACCCTTCCCGACGTGGACCTTGCCAAGATGACAAGATCATCTGCATGAGCTTGCAGATCAACTATCCACCAGAAGCGACCCCAGAAGGGGAGATAGTACCCCATCATCATATGGAATTCCTCAGAAGGTCTTGCACGAATGGTCTCAATTCAATAAGGGTCTAGCCAATACTTCCTGGGGGGCAAAAAATACAACTTTGTTGAACCTTTATCGAGCCTTAGTACGATCCAAACTGGACTATGGATCTATAGTCTTTTCAACAGCAAAGAAATCTGTTCTGAAAGCGATTGACATCATTCATCACACACCCATCAGAATTGCTATGGGGGTGTTTTGTACCACTCCGGTAGAGAGCCTATTTGTAGAAGCAGGAGAACAACCCCTCGAGCTCCGTCGCCAATACCTAACATTGAAGTATGCTGCCAGAATATCAGCCAATACATATAATCCTACATATCGAAATACTTTCTCAAACCGATAGGTACGCACGCATTTTCCCACAAAACAAAGTCATACCCACACCACTTATGCCCAAATCAATAAAATCGTTATTGCTTAATTTAACTTCCGTAACACCTACCCTATTAATATTCAAATTCCACCTCCCTGGACGATTGATCTTCCCAAGTGCAATGCTCAATTGATCGCTCTTTCGAAACATAATACACCGTCAGCTGTTATACAGTTATAGAGAAATCATTCTGAGTTAGTCGCCTCAAAATACCAATCTTTCAACCACATATATACAGACGCTTCCAAAACAAATGATGGGGTTGGTGCAGCAGTTATAACGAACACGACAAATTATACTTACCTGCTTCCAGTATCTACACAGCTGAACTTCACGCCATTAAAACTGCTCTAGTACACTGCAATAGAACCGAAGGCTCGGACTCGCTTATTTCAATACAAGGACTTCAACAACTATACCCCAAAAATGCCATTCTTCTTCGAATCAAAAGAGAACTTATAGAACTAACCAACAACAAAAAAAGAGTGGAAATAGTCTGGGTACCATCTCACACAGGCATTAAAGGCAACGAAATCGCTGACGCAGAAGCTAAAGCTTCCATTACAAATCCAGGAACAAATCAAAACTCCCAGGTTCCACACGTAGATCTATATAACGACATAAAAAAACTTATATTCAAACGATGGAAAGAACGGTGGAGCTTCTTAACCCCCAATAAACTCAGAGATATCAATCCAAACCTAGTTATTAACAACTACCGCCATCTCAGTCGTAGACAGCAAGTCATTCTCACCCGACTACGCATTGGCCACACCCGGTATACTCATCTACATTTAATCAAGAAACACCCAACCGATGCCTCAACTGCAACGTTGATCTAAGTGTTAAGCACATTAACATGGACTGTCCCAGCTACCAAAACGAAATACTTATATCCGGTTCAGGAAATGAATACTCCAGTATCCTAGATATCAAGAATATAGATTCACTGTTGTGTTTTTTGAAATTTCTAACATAATATAGAATATAAAACACCTTATTGTTCCACCGCTAATAACCTAGCTGGCTGATGCGGTATAATTGAAATAAAAAAAAAACAACATACTTATAATCAGGAACTGAGGTCCCATTTCACATCAAACAGTGCATTTATCGTGAGAGAACACAAAAGTGTATTCAACTCATAATCCCAAAAACGAATCCGGTCATCTTCGTTTTCTACAATCACCCAATAATTTTTTTTAATTGATGTGGATGATTTGATTATTTGAAAAAATGTACGGTTATAGTTTATAGTGTATGGTTTCCAGTTTTAACTTCGATTATGATTTAGCTATTAATATTAACGTATCAATAACACAATTGACATCTTGACAACAATGACAACCAGCGTGTTTCAAATGTGACAATAATTACGTAATTCCAGGTAACCGCTGTCTAAAATTCTGGTTAGGAAGTGGTTATTTTTGGAACATATCTCCATCCATCCATTCATAACCACATAACTGATTGGAACATAAATTTTAAAAGTAAAATTGGGTGAAATCACAAATGGTCTGTGGGTGAAATGCAATAGTGATATTCACGCACGGAAGCAATAGCTAAGATAACCTAGACAGAGAGAGAGAGAGATAAATATTATGAGTTATGGTGGTAATATTTTGGTTAATTCCTTGGACAAGTCAACAAATAAAGTCGAATCGAATTTAAAAATAGACTTGAGTAGAATGTTTTATTTTTTAGTGAAATCCATCATACTGGCGACACTTATTCAAGGACAAGGGAGTCAGTTGAAAACAAATCAAGTAAGCCTGCCATTTGCCATTAATTTAGTAATTTCAGATTGAAAATGTATTATTGCAAAGTGTTATACCATATAAATAGGTAACAGTAAACCATGAATTTAATACTTGTCAGAAAATAGATCCAAGAATTAATTGATGGATGCACTCTCAAGTGCTGCCATAGTGTTTTTAAGAGATTTGTATTTTTCATTATATATGAAAAATGTTAACTGAACATTCATCATAAATTAGCATTACCATTGACTTAAGAAAGTGGTCATGAATTTTGAATGAGTTTTTGTTGTTGCCTGAGAGCCATCTGACTTGTTCATTTCATCTTGAGTTTCTGAAAACCCTGTAGCCTCATGGGCTATTGCTTTTTTCATGACAATATTTTTTGTACTAGTGGGTACAGTAATTCTTTTGGAGGATCAAACTTGGGTCCATTAATTTTTCTTATATTCATTAATGATCTAACTCAAAATATAAAGTACTCTGAGTGTCTCTTATTCGCGGATGACCTTAAATTTTGTAGATAGATCAAAACTTACAAGATTGTGTCAAACTACAAGAGTACATCAATAGTGATTATCGATGGAGTGTGAAAAATGATCTTCCGTTCAATATATCCAAATGTTCTGTCCTGTCTTGTACCCGAAAACTAAATAAGACACTATACAATTACTTAATGAATGGTATTGAATTATCCATGGTAGAGACTGTCAAAGATTTAGGTATATACTATAGCTCCACACTCTCGTACAAACGCCATTTGGATTACATAGCATCTCAGGCACTAGGAATGATGGGATTTATAATGAGACAAAGTGCACATTTCAATGCTATTAAAGTGATTACTACACTTAATAATAGTTTGGTCAGACCTAAACTTGAATATGGGGCTGTAGTATGGCATCCTTCCTATATTGTTCATAAAAATAGATTAGAAAAAATTCAAAACAGATTTCTGAGATTTTTATATTACAAGAAGTATATCCGGATTATAATACAATTAGAACAGTAGCACTACGAAATTAATTTAAAATACCCAGTCTAGAAAATAGAAGACAGGCAAGTATAGTGTTAATGTGATATAAAATATATAAAAAAATTATAACTGTCTCAATCTCAAATCTTTACTGAAAGAGAGAATTCCCAAAAGAACAACAAGACTCATTCAATTCTTTGATGTACCATATGTATTAACAAATAACTGTTCACCTATCATTACAATGCTCAAAATAACAAACAACTTCCTGTTAATGTCAGACATCAACTTTGTTCTCCCTTCCAAACAAGTTTATAGTGGTGTAAAAAAAACTTTTCAAGTTTAGAATAAATATGTTTTTTCCTTCCATTAGGCTTTATGTAGTAACTACTCACGGATACAATGTAACTGTGTTCACGTATAAATATTAGCATTCTATTTATGGTTTAGACTGTATTGATATTTTCATGAGAATAATTATTTTCATGTAATGAGATTTTTACCTGTTTGAAAATAAATAAATAAATTTGCTATATTTCTCTGAACATAATTTGCGATGTCCCAAAATCACTTGCCTTCTGTAATCCAGTACCTGACATTTGCATAAAACATGAGCTATATCTGTTCTGCAGCTGACATGTCCGTTATACATCACTATTTTGTTCAGATGTGTCCTGTGAGTAGTCTCTAACTCTGCTGCTGCGAGAATCTGCTGAATATAACGGATTATTCTAGTAAGTCATTATTGTTGGTTCAAATATTTATCGAGATCAGGATCATTCCAAATATCTGCTCATGATCGTTAAAAGTATTGTTGTTGTGGTTGTTCATTGTACTTTGGTAAAAAGCAGGCTTTATTGCGACATCAATTGAACGATTGTTATCACATATCGGCAACAACACTAACCACAATTTCAGGGTTGACAAATTCGGTGAATGTGTACCTGATAATATTTTACCTGATAATATTTTACCTGTTAATATTTTTAAATTTAAAAATATCGGAAAACAGTTGAGGGTTCTATTTGTTGTATTTGCTGATTTCGACTCTATTCTGAAACCACTGCATACAAATGAGCCAAATCCTGCGACCTCTTACACAAATCGAACTTATCTTCATGAACTATACGCTTTCTCATATCTCATAAAATGCTCATTTATTGATTCTATTTATGAATTCGTATCATATAGAGGGGCTGATTACCGTTATATATCACAAATATTTGAAAAATTTCGTTCCAATGAGTCCTTGGACTGCTGAGGAAAAGCGTGATTCCAATATTGCCACTACATGTGGTATATGTGGAAAGACATTTGAAAAGGATGTACCAACTTCATTTCCATAATTTTCCTTAATTTCAGTGAGAATGACTGTCATTTGTACATAAAAGATTCATGCACTAATATAAGTAAAACTGTCGTTATCGCTCAAACTGTATGGAAATATGTTTCTTTCATGAAACATTCACTAATGAAAAACACATTGAATCGAAGGGGAAAAAATTTTTTTTTGAAATTAAGGTTCATCGATAGTTACAAATTCATGGCTGCATTTCAGTTGAGAGTAGAGCGATAATTCAGATGAAAAACAATTTGTGGAAACAAGAAAATATTTTCCAGAAAATGTGTTTTCTTCGCACAGCTTCATTGATTCTTTGGATAAATCGAATCGTTCAAGTATACCATCGAAGGTGGATTTTAATGATAAACTGAATGAAAAGCATGTTTCTGATGAGGATTATGATAGAGTGAAGCAGGTATGGAACATATTCAATTGTTACGATTTAGGTGAATATATTAATATATATTTGAAATCAGATGTTCTGTTACTTCGTGATATTTTTTAAAATTTCAGAAACATTAGTTTAGGTACATATAAATTGTACCCTGCCCATCATTTTGCGTTTCCAGGTCCTTTTTGGGATGCTATGTTGAAGTATACATGCATCGATTTGGAAATATTAACTGATACCGATATGGTGTATTTTCTCCAAAATGGCATAAGCGGTGATGTTAGTCAATGTTCGGTGGGAAAGCATTTTCATTCAAATTATAATCCCGACTATCCTTCATAATTCATCATGTACTTGAATGCAACGAATTCATATGGTCATAGTATATCTTAATCACTACCTTTTGGCCGAATGAAAAAAAAATAGTTCATTATAGAAATTTAAAACAGTCTCGTAATGGTTTGATGGTGATGAGATCTCATATAATTCTCAGATTCAATCAAAAGTATATCGATTTGAATACGAACCTAAGAAATGAAGCTACCAATAAGTTCGAGAATTATTACTTGAAATCGAATGTCAATTACATATACGGTAAGACAACAGAGAACTTTAACAATAGAAGAGACATTGGAATTGTTGAACATTGGAATCTATTGGAAGAGGGTGTAGCGTTTATAAAAACCTACTGTACTTTCTATTGAAGTTTTATATTACCAACGCTAATATCAGAGAAATTTTGAAGCTTTCTTGAGAAGTAGACAACCCAAATTACATTTTTTGCCTTGATTTTCACTTCTCATATTTTAAGACAAGACAATTATGAATGAAACATTTATTAATTATTGAAAGTTTCAACTCTTTTCAAATACATTTTATTCATTCCGGTACAGATTGGTGACTTTTTCTATCCAACACGACCGATTCAATCGGATCCTTTTTGAGGTGGGATTTCTGTATTCGTTAAACCCAAAGTCAGGAATGAGGTGTTGCCGAAATTATTTGGGGAAATTCCTCAGAATAGACTTGAGAACGGCAGATTTTGAAAGTTCGATGAAAGGCTGCACTTGAGGAGTTACTGAGTCACCACTAATTTTCCAAAACGATCGACGTCATCTCATCAAAAACATTTTTCGTAATTTTTTTGGTTAACGGAATCCTTCGTTTTGGAAGGGTTTTAAGTGTTGGGTACTTTTTACTATATTTTTTTAAGGAACTAGTTTGTAATTATTAAAGAGGGAAGAACTGGAACTTTATCTCTGGTTTCAGCACAGAATAGATTTTCAGTTAATTTGCCGAATGTTTTTTCCATTCGCCCAGTTCGATAAATATCAATGTCTACGTCTACATGATAGTCCATGTGCATTTTTTTTTAATTAGAAAAGTACGTGATCCAAGTCTGTTCCATTCATGGTAGAAGAAAACTACAGCTCAGCAAGAAACTAACAGGCAAATCTACTTACAATTGACCCATTTCTCTGAAAATAACTATTTTTTTTGCAAGCATTAGATATATTGATTTATCAACATGATACAATTATTGATTTTTGAGTCAATCCCCATTTATAGCGTAAACCTGAACTCAGGTCATTTTAGTCCTTTTCCTGATTAACATTTTTTTCATTGACATGAATCGTATAAGTAATATTTTATCTGATTTTTTCACCTGAACTTTCTTCAGATGAGCGACTTTTATCTATAATCATTAATCAGTTATTACATTTTATTTTTACCCTTGTTCAATTTTCCAACCATTATTTTGTGAATATCAAGTATTTCAGAATTTCAGATTATTCATGGATTCACTATATTGATGTGATTTAAAGAACTCAATTTGACTAGATTTGGTTACACAGTCGACCAGATCACATGTCATTTATTTTTTTTGGCTGCGTGGCGCCCAACTTAGGTTTCTATATAAAAAATATATTCAATTGATGAAATATTAGGATGCGGATTTTTTTTTAACGAAATCTCTAGTGCATACCAACGAAGAACTACCGTACGCATTCTGCCTATCTTCCGAGTAAGTTCATTATAATTTTGTATTACTCAAAAAAAAATGTCATAAGGTATGGGTGCCAATGCTTTGATATCTCACCCTTATCACGTCAGATATTGACAATTTTCATTATCAATCGTTTTTACCCCTCAACAAATTCTACTGAAGAGTCCGAATGTCACTGAATGTCCAACGTCACTGTGGAAGCGTTCGAATCATATTCATCAGTTGAGAGCTCAGTTCACTCATTTGGACTGGACCATTGTCTGGTGTTGTTTCACTAGAAGTTGAAAATATA